GGTTTCTCAGTCGTTTGTGTCCGTGTGTTCTACGTCTTAACAGAACAATAATTGTTTATTTCATTCCATATTTTATTCCTTTTCCTGCTCTTGACAGTGATGAGTTATCTGTAGTAGTTAGGAATGGTTGCTTTTAAGGACAAGCGGGCTAACCCAGATTACGGGGGTTTCCAGAAATCTTGACCTACACCAAAAGTGGGCTTTGCCCTCCCTATCTATAGGAGAAGTTTGGTTTCATGGGTGTGTATGTTTATTTAATTACAGAGAAAACCCTCCTTGGCTTTTAAAGAAACTGAACAAGGGGCAAAGACTTTACCTTCGATTTTCTCAAAACAGCATTTTTCGGGATAGCCCCCTTGTGCTGAAAAATTAAAAGTGACCGGATCATCCTGGCTGAAGTGTGGTTGGGTGTGTTGTTCCTTCCACTTTGCTTGTGACCCCATTTAGATAATGGTTCTGGCCTGTGGGACAGTCAAGCGAGAGGCTTGTCTTGTTCAGGTTGCTCTGGTGACGCCCTTTTTATTTTTTTTTTGGTGCTGAAAAGTCAGGTGGCTAATTTCCAAACAGGTTACAGTGAGATGGTATTAACTGTAGCACAAACTCTTTGTGGATTTTACATTGTTTTCAGGCAAAATCAAGACAAATGAAGAAGATTTTCACGATACAATACATGTAGCTCCATGTGTCATAAAATTGACGAGCATCTGATTCCACCACTTGGTGACGTAGATTCTATAGTAGAGTCCCCTTAACCGAAGTCTGCGCAGCAGGACTGCCGAATTTCCTTCCGTTTATCCGGGGTTTTTTTGTTTTGTTTTTTATTTGTTTGTTTGTTTGTTTGTTGTTGCTGGGGTTTTTTTTTTTACAGGGGGAGGGGAGATAGAGAAGTCACTCAAGTAGAAGGATAATTTTTAAAAATTTCGGGGACTTTATATATTTTCGGTTTATTGCTGTTTTCGGATTAACTAATGCTTTCGGTTTAAGTGGACTCCTCTGTATATTTTTTAAAAAGTGTGACTTAATGCGTCTACGACCCCCTGGGATAAAACATGATCCTTTGTTCTGTCTCCTGGGTTTTCTGCATCCCGCATAATTTAGCAAAATTTGATCATTTTTTGTATAATTTCTTACTATTTTCCTTTATCATTCTTTGTTAAAATCAACAGAATCGCATAATTTAACATTTTTGGGCTCAGTTTGCATAATTTCAGAATTGTTCTTGCGTAAAACGACGGGGACAGTTTGTTCAAGGTGTTCTACCATGTTTCCTTTATTTTGACAGGCGCTCATGGTATCGTTTGTGCGGCAAGCAATCCACTTATGTCCATTTGGGTAGCCTACTTTTTACACACACACACACACACACACACACACACACACACACACACACACACACACACACACACACACACACACACACACACACACACACACACACACACACACACACACACACACACACACACGTTTTTTGTTGTTTTGTCTATTTTGGGAAAAATGAAAAGCTAGAAAATCGTAAGCCTTCACCACAACATTAAACTGCATCTTGGTGATGTTGAAAGGCCCATCCTTGGTAGAGCTTTGGAGAGTGTAAAAATCGAAAATTCTCTAAATTTGGACTTAAGTGGATAGCTTACGACAGTGACGTTATGCAGTTGCTGACGCCGTAAAACTTGTTCCAAACTTATTTATTTAGCTCGTTCTCAATTGATACATATAATGTAGGTCTACACGACACCTCTCTATGGTGCTAACAAAGGCTTTTGTCTGAATTGTGTTACAATCTAGGCTCATTTTTGTGTGAATTTGAAAAGCAACCCCCCCCCACAACAGCGAACTCAAAAACCCCCCAACCGAAACTAAACAGCAGCAACAACAACAAAACAAACACACAACAACAACAACAACAACAACAACAACAAAGAATAGATTATACCACGTTGAATACAAAGTCGTGGCAATCAAAACGTAGCCACGGTGATGATGATAACAATGATGATGATTTTGATGATGATGATGATGATGACGACAAATGCCGACGACGACCACGCCCAGAAGCACCAGCACCAGCACCACCTTCACCAAAGCCAGTAACCACGATGACAAGACGCGCGGAGGGACCTTGACCTCCCCGCCAAACCGCCAACTTACAACAAGTCGAACTTTTGGCCAGGTACTTGCCGGCAACCCATACCCTCTGCGGAGAAAACACAAGAGAAAGTTATTGAAAGAAAAATAAGAAATAGTATTATAAAATATAGTACAAGAAATGATGCCGTCCCTTTTAAACGTGTACTATAATATGCAGTGCTTTATATGTGAGGCAGCGTGGTGGAATCAGGCTCTCGTCAAAATTATCAAAGTGAAGAAACTTGCATTTTTCCACAGGTTTGTGAATTTTTATCAAATTTTTGTTTTTTGGCTCAACACCTTTCTGGCCCATTAAATAACTAATTTCTGTGTGGATTTTTAAAGCACAAATAACGTCAATTTTCTGTTACCACCGACTCTTAAGCTCGGGAAATAGCTAATCTTTGGCGGCCATTTTTCTCACTAATTTTACCTCTGAAAACAGGTGACCCCCACCTCCTTCATTCGCAATTATCTCGACTTGTATTCAAGGTAAATGGATATTCTTTCATCCAAATAAAGACAAGTGAACAAGCTATAAGATGATACCAATAACTCTACATGCCCAAAAATTGACGAGAGCCTGATTCCACCACGCTACTTCACAAATAGTATTATATAATACAAGAAATGATGCCGTCATTTTTAAACGTGTACTGTATGCAGTGTTTTAAATAGTTCTTTTTCTCCTTTTTTCTTCTTTTTTTCTTTCTTTTATTAAACAATTTTACACGGGACCCCC